GGTCGTTTTCCTTAAAATCTTTACGTGTCTGCTGTTATCTAGACCTTTTGGAAATAATAATAGTAATAATAGTAATAATTGTTTTTTTAATATATTATTATTTTTTTTTTATTGGGCCCATTTAAATTCATTAAAATAATAATAATGATGATGATGATGATGATGATAATAATAATCACAACCGTTTTCATTTTTTTGTGTTTTGCTTCTCCAATAGGGGGCTGCTCAGCCACCCACACCCCCGCCCCAATCCGTCCCTGGGCATGGGTTGGAGTCTGCTAAGCGACACGATACAGAGATTACGCAACGTTTGCACATTATGTTCAAGCAAAGAAACTGGAGTGTTACGTGACGTCTACAATAGCTGTATATAGAGAGAAAACACAACAACAACACACAATAAAAGTAGAAATGAGAACAGCCAAACAACAACAATAAGGGTAACAGAAACAAGCAAAATCTCCAAAAGAGAAAACTAGTATCAGTTTATTGCTTCAAGTGAAAATTCACGTGCATTCTTGTGAAAAAACGTCCATTATATGTTCATTATAACTACATCAACGTGATTTACACAACAAAAGCAGTGAGGTCTGTATCTAACCAAGGTCACCTCCAACCTCGCTGCCATTCAAAGGCCAGGTCACTGAGCAGACAACTGTAAAATGGTATATTATAGTGTCTACTCGTGCACTGTTAAATACAATTTGCTATTTAGCCCCAATAAAACAATTTGACGTTATGTTACCCATGCTATACGCTAAGCTAAAGAGGTTATAGTCATTCTAAGGACCCCTGATACATTTCATGTTACAGTCCCTTTGTCGTGGGGAATATACGTTATCACGTCGAAAGACATTACGTATTGATTTCTATGTAAAATATATTAATATCGTATTTTTAATACTTTCCTAATTGTTTTGTTGACTGATTATCGATTTGCATTATATATTTATACATATATATCTAAGCCTTATTCACGATAGCCGCCTTGTTTCTTCTCTCATTTAGATGGAAATATGAAGGTGCGTCATTTCTGTGGCCCCGTCCACATTACGCCGGAAAAATTTGAAAACCCAGAAATTCAAGAGATTTCATTGGCTTAGCCATCATGGTATATGAGCAATCATAACATGGCGGCTATTGTGAAATTTGGACGTTAAAAACACCCGACAACCCTAAAACCATGTAAAACAACATAAAAAAAAATGTATAAAAGGGTACCAAAAAACAACTAGCACTTAGGATTATACGTCGGTGTAAAAACATGTGACGTTTTAATTTCTGTTTTGAAGCTATTTTCTTCCTGTTTTGTGTTCCTTTCGGATTTTAATCCAGGGGGTACACAAGGATCCAAGTGACGGGATGATCGAATGGGGGCAAAAATCAAAACCCCCCAAATCTCTGGGCTGCCAACCAAACCCCAAAAATCTCTGGACCATGCAACACCATCGTGATTAAAACAACCCTAAAACAAGTTTGTTGTACTTTATTCGCAGACCTCAGTGGCCGGGCACTACCATAAACCTTCAGATTATTTTAAATACCCTCCAAAGATCACTACTAAATCAAGTCATTCAAAGGATACTTCTCGAATTTTCCTTCCCCAAAAAATTCCTGGAATAGAAAAGTTCAACCCCTACCTCCAACCTCGCCCCCCCCCCCC